TCACAAAAAAATGACTATACTCGTCACAAAGGTCTGTATTTTGGTTACACTTCTGTATTTTGTCTAAACTAATTTTAATGTTTGAATCAATATTACTTGAGTTCCGATTTTTGAACTAGTCTATTTCTATAAAAATATAAATAAGTTAAGATAAAATATAAAAATAGAAGCATCATCACCAAACATATTCTTAGATCTTAATAAATAAAAAATAACAGTAAATAGAATGTAATCTAGTTGGTTATAATGCTCGTTCTTCAATTATTAAGTGACCAAGGTTCGAACTCCATTGATAACATTTTTAATATATAAAAATTTTCTGGGTGCAATAACAAAAATGACATTCCTAGAATCACTCTCAGGCCACAAAATTTGAAATGGGACAATTACAACCCATGTTTTACCTTTATATATTTTGTAGATAGATATTGAAGGAAATTTTGATTATAAGAAGTTATTAATTTAAATTAAAAAGGAGATTACAATTAATTTAAGATGAACTTTAATAACTTTAATGGTAAGAAGTTATTAATTTAGTTATAGAGATAATATGAATATTGAGTTGTGTTAAAAAAAGTAAGCATGACCCACAATTACAGATGATGAAGTTGCAGTAAGCACCACACTTGAAATTAATTGCATGTAAATGACATCATTGGAGATGCTCTTAAATTGTGGCAATGATTGGTCTATTTCCAATTTTAATTTGGGCTTCTATGGTAATAGGATCTTGATTAAGTCACTTGGGTTCAAACTTCATGAAAATTGCGTTTTGCCTTGTATCTGTTTTAATTTATTCCTTTCATTATTTTTCCCTATAATTTTCTTTTTTTTTTTCTTTTTCTTTTTTCTCTGTTTTCGTTGAAGTTCTTTATTATTTATTTATAATTAAATTGTTTTCCCTTTTCATTTGATTGGTTGACTCATCTAGTGGAGACTTGTCTTGCATTTATTGTAATTTACACTTTTCAGGAATGATTCTCATTTATATTGGATTTTTCCAGAAATAGCATCATTAAAAAAAATTACAAAAATGACACCCAACTCACACAAATTCCAAAAATAGCACCATTCTTCGAAAACCGCCACTTGTGGAGGCGGGTTTTGAAAATAATGTAGGTTGAGGAGGCGGTTAATGATCTGTTTAGAAACCGCCACTGAGAGAGGCAGTTTAGTAGCTGACCTAGCAGAAACCGCCTGTTAAGGGGGCGGTTCTTGGTCTTCAACATAAATCGCTTAAGACCCTATTTCTTTAGGCATGCATCTCTTTATAAAGAGTCTAAGTAAGTGGCGCATTGTATTAGCCCAAACCAATGACTTAATCAATACTATTAAAAATTATCAAATTTATTTTATAAACCACTAAGTATGTTAACAAAATAAAAAAAACGACAAATGATGAAGAATTGTATGTACCTGGTGATTGTTCCAAACATCCCTTGAACGGTGGTTAGGTTGGTCGTACAACACGCTTAGATCACTCGGTCATAATATCGTTGGTTGTATATATCCACGTCGTCCCTAAGCTACAAGAGAATAACAAGGTTAATTAGTTAGTTATAGATTAATTAAAAAATTATAAGAACAGCAAAAATTTGGTAAAATGAGTACGTACCGTTTGATAGTCATCATGGAAAATATCCTCGTCTTCGCACCAATAATCCATTTTTTCAATATGTCGGACAGAGATTCGACGGGCTTTGAAGGAAAAACCAAAGAAATATTTTTTGATGGCAGATCAGACTTAGCCGCAACCAACAGACCACTATTTCCTAGGTTTTTGGGGGGAGAGGAGGCTGGATAGAGAGATAATTTTAGAGAGAGAGAAGAATGGGTTTTGGTGTGAAAAAATTGGATAGGGGGAGGGGGTTTATATAGGATTCAGACCGCCCCCTCCAGGTGCGATTTTGTTATTTTCGAAAAACGCAAACCGTTCTGAGAAACTGCACCGTCGACATGCGGTCTACAATCCCGGACGTAGATAGATGCATTGGCCGTTGGATCACTACTTGATCCGACGGTTACAGAAACCGCTGCTTCCCTATGCGGTTCCCAGGCTGCCATAGCAGAGACCATGGCTTTCCCATGCGGTTTCTCTGTAAACCGCACCTTCGGCCTACGGTTTCTTTATAAACCATACCTTGGTCGTGCGGTTTTTAATAAATGGTGTTATTTTTAGAATTTGTGTGAATTGGGTGCCATTTTTGTAAAAAAAAATTAAATAGTGTTATTTTGGAGAAAAATCCATCATTGGATATGCTCTTAAATTGTGGCAGTGGTTGGTCTATTTCCCAATTTTAATTTGGGCTTCACGGTTAATAGGATCTTGATTGAGCCATTTGGGTTCAAACTTCAATGAAAATTTCGTTTTGCCTTGTATCTGTTTTAATTTATTCATTTCAGTATTTTTTCCTATAATTTCCCTTCTTTTCTTTTGTTTTTTTCTCTTTTTTTCGTTGAATTTCTTTATTTTTTATTTATTAATAATTAATTTTTTTCCTTTTCCATTTGATTGGTTGACTCATATAGTGGAGACTTGTCTTGCATTTATTGCAATTTACACTTTCGGGAATGATTCTCATTATATTGGTTTATATGCAACAGATATTGTTGTTGTTTTTAATAATTCCGAATATACCTTAAATTCTCGCTTATAGCTAGTTTTATTTTTCCATGTTTGGGTTTTTTGTTTATGTATTATGAAAGATGAAACTTTTATTAGAACACCAGCGGTTCCGGATGTTTGTTTTGTTTTGTAGGAGTTCTTTCCATTTCCTTAACATGTGTACACAAACCACAATGGTTATTACTCTTAAATGGGGGTAATCGTAAGAACGTTCTCTCATTATCTCTCTATCTGAGTCAGGGTCGTGTCATTTTCCTCTTCAAAAGTTTCATAGAGCTGCTCACCTCGTGGAATAAAAGGCTCTTGCACTTAGTAATCGATCAATTATGTTAATCAATATTTTATTTATTTGTCTGTAATAACCATATAAAAATACAAAATTTGTTATCTGATTATTGGTGAAGATCATTTTTGTAAAAAGGAAAAGTTGCATACAATGTTGGGGTATAAAAAGAGAAGGCAGAAAAAGGAATAGAGAGAAGTTGTTTTCTTTACAGTGGTTTATCTTAGATAACAAGTTTGTGGAGCGGGAGTGTAAGAGCGTCTATGTTACAAGAATTCAACATTAAAAGTTTGAAGAGAGCGTTATTATTACATTATTTTTTCATATTTACAATCTAATTAAGGATAAATTATTACATAACATATATTAGTGATAACTATAATTTAGATAGAAAATAATAATCAAAAGAGGGCGGATATTTTATTAGGTTAAGTTCGTTAATAAATTAAATATAATAATTATTTTATTTTGATAAATTAATCATTTTTTAGTTTTCTTTTTACACACCTTATCTCTTGCTCGGGAGGCGACACTCATCCACCATACCACCACAAAATAAACCTACTAATCTCTCTTTCCATTTTTTCCCTCTCTATGTTCGACCCTGCGCAGAGCAAGCTGATACTCTATTGTTCTTCAATTTTCCATGCAATCTATGATCAAAATTTTCTCTCAAATCTCGCAATAGATCAACTTGCTCAATTGGAAGGCCTAAATACAGTAGCCAGGATTTTATTCAAGGAGTGCTATAAAAAAAATGACATATGCAGTCTCGTGTTTTATATTGTGAAATTATTCTACAACTATATGAATCGACCAAACTATCAAGATTTCACACTTAATATATCCCACCAAATAACCATTCACAACTTTAGTTCACTAGATGCAAATGCTGATCAATCGTTTCATATCATAAAATGCTAGCAACTTGTGCATTGATAGATGATAGTGGCAAATCAAATCTATTTTCACAAACAAATACATTGATAGAAACTAATTTTCATGTAGAAATTCTTAGATGAAATTAACTTATTAGTTTGTTGTGATTTAACGGTAGAAGATTTTACGATTGACATTGAAATTTAGGATTTAAATATCATCATTAACTAACTAATACTACTAATATTTTGTACTTTCTCCAAATCTAATGGGGTGCCATGACACCCCCTTATTATACTCTAGCTACGCCCCTGCCTAAATGACGAACAATCTCAATTGAATCGGGAGAAGCGAAGTTCAACTTCTGCTTGCTGTAGTGGCGGTGCAGCGTCGGCAAAGAACGGGATTGGAGGCTGAAACTCCACACAACACTTGGTGGAGGGAGTGAGGACGTCAATTGTAACAGATCAATTTAACTCAATTGTCTCATTTAACATAATACCAAATTGACCCCTTTTCAGACATAAACTTTGGATGGATCAATTTGCTTAGGAAATTTCAAATTAAATCATTTTGAATCAATTTCACTTGTCTGGAGGGAGAGTTGATCATTCAAATTGACCTCATTTTAATGGACACATTTCATAAAATGAGACAATTAGTCAAATTGTCTCGTTTTTAAATTGACACATCCAAACGACCCCATTTCTTCATTGTTCACGAATTCGATAAGTTACAATACAAAGAAAATATAGTATTTTGTATATTCGGTTGATAAAAAGACACTCAAATTTGTTATTGTACAAATTGACACATATTTATATGTAAATATGCTTGAATCAAACATAAAAATCATTAGAAAGTCAAACAAATTGTAAGAACTACACTTCTTCATGTAACTTGCAATTGACGTAATTGAATAAATGAAAAAGGATTTAGAGATTGTAAAGGATATCTAGGGATTAGAAGAAGAATTGAGATCTGGGACAGGAAGAACAGAACTGTTAATTAAGGATTTAGAAGAGGAAATTGAGGATCGGGAAGAGGAATGATCTGCGGCCTTAGGAAGAGATGACAAATTTGAGAGGAAGAAAGACTAGGGTTTGAAATGCTTTTTGTATTGATCTTTGCTTAATTTTGTCGAAAAACTTGAAGTACGTATATATAGAAATAGAAAATTAACCAAAAATTCAAATAATAAAGTTATAATATTCAACTAGGTAACCGACCAACCCTAATAATAATATCACTAATTCAGAATAACATATTTCTAACACATACATCATCTTTAGTAAGTTTTCAAGAGGGGAGAAAACATCCAACTGTCATTTGATTGGGGGCTAAACTCTCTCTATAAACATGCCAACCCTTGGCCCTTTTGTAATTCTTTAGCAACACTTTCACCGTACGACCACAGGTATCTAGCAACACCAATTGACCCGACGACGTCTCAGCGATAACCTGATCATCCTTCCAATACCCCATCACCACTGCCCTCCCAGAGAAAGGCCAAGGAATTGAATGTCTACTCCAACCCCATTCTCTCTCACCACCATCGTTCTTCCTCCTGAGCAACCACACATCAACCGGCCTCAAACAATCAGCAAACTCCCCGTTAAACAAAGCAATCGAATCGCGATACGTACTGAGAGTACAATTATACCAAGAACCGCCAGAAGGGTAGTCTATCTTGTGGAAAACATGACTTCCCATATCAAACGCCACCACATATCTACTGTAGTTGTCAAAGACCCGGTAGAAGATCCCCTCAGAGTAAGCATGGCGATTTAAGGTGTGGTAACCAGAATAATTCCGTCCTTCCTGGTATGGGTAGCCTCCTGCTATCTCCGTCCAACAATTGCTGCGCAATGTATACACAAAAACTGATGAATGGAAGGCAGAGGAAGGGATGTAGTTGCCAATATCATCATGACAAACGTAGTTACGAATCAGAACGACCTTGATATCATTGGCAACTAGATCTTCACCAACTCCACAGTAATCGCAGGAATGCCGTGAATAGACTGGCGATATCGACTCCAGAGGGTAGCTAATTGGGGGCGCCAGAGGAGGGTTTGGGAGAAGCTTGATTTCACGAGTTGCCGGGCTCCACAAACGGTAATCAGGGTAGCGCCTACATGGATTGCCGAGAAGAAACAGGCCGTTTCCCCCACCGCCACAGATGACATCCTTGGCCATCTGCTGGCCTAGATTGATCAGCCACCGTTGACAAGGTTCTGCTTCGGGGCAGAGTGAAATCGATTGGGGACCAAAGGAGGCAGAGTAGCACAAGAGGGAGTGATTGGTGCAGTTCTTGAGGTGCATGGAGACGAAGTGTGGATTGTTGGTGATTATGGCGGCCCATTCGTTGCAGAGGGACTTGAATCTGATTAGGGTTTTCACTGGCAGCCGAGACAGAATATCGTTCACAACATCGGAAGGCAATTCATCATCACCAACTAATTCTAATTCTAATTCACCCGCTACCTGGCGGCGCTTGCGGGTGGGATCCTCGTCCGTTTCGGCGGCGATATTCCGCTTGGTTATGGAGCCCATGGCGACGGAGGTTAGCAGAAAAGAACGAGAGAGAGAGAGAGAGAGAAGAAAGATCGTCTCTGGCCGCCGCCCGACTGCCCTCTGTCTATTGGGCGGTTTCTGTTTTTTTTTTCCCCCCTTTTATTTATCAGTGTTGGATTAGCTAGTCTCCCACGAGGACACGATAGCAGTTTGGGCTAAAGCCCACTAAGAGAATCATTTTCCTCGTCTGTATTGGACCAATAGTCAACATGATCCAAGCTCCATTAACTCGACGTAAATCAATACTCACTTGTATTGGGCTGGCTATCGGTTCGGTTACAATCTCGGTTCGTTTATAATCGGAACTGTTTAGTTGGTTCTCGGTTAATCATTAAACACTTTGTGTTTATCATTAATTGCATCATTTCTATTAGTCGATTAACCGTAATGCTATAGTTGATTCTCAGTTATTTTGTCAACCAGATACCGTCAAACAAGTGATTCGGCAAGATTATACTAAAATAACGGATCGATAACTTAACCAACAAAAGGCCTCTACTTTTTTTAATGGTTTATTTTCTAGATTTCTCGTGCATAACCATTTGTTCTTTTCTTAATTTGTTATTATTGAATAAAAAATAATTTAGCATAGATATTAATGCATAATCAACTCAATCCAACACATGTACACAATAACAATTCTACCGTCAAATTTGATTAAAGAAGAAGACAAGAATAAGAGACCCAACAACAATTATTCAACTCATAAACCCCACCAAATTACATGGAAGGTTAAATGTTACTAATTGTTGCTGAGCAACTGTGTGCAAGTCCAACTTTCTACTGTACTTCTTGTAAATCACTTCTTTTAAATTATTCTCATTTGAATCTAAGTCACTATTACAACTATGGTAGGAAATAGATGTTGTACGCCTTCAAACATCTCATTATTTTCGACGTATATGAAAATGATCGTAATGATTAGTCGATTAACCGTCGGCTACTGTTTAACTGCCAGTTAGTAATTAGCTAATCATTTACTGTTTAATCGATTATCAATATAACCATCAAACATCAATTTCGATCATAGAAGTGTTTTGATGATCTAGAAGAAGCGTAAAAATATATGTTTTAAAATACTATTTTGACTATATTGCTCCAACGTACAATAGAACCCTAAGTGTTCGTCCTTGGGCAGAATCACCTTTCGGGGAAAGTAAAAGCGATCGACAATTGTAGTATTGAACTATATCATAAAAGTTGACAATTTTATCGAAATTCAAACCGATATTGCGGGTTGAAGGAGCGAGTTTGACTCAAATTAAAGGAATCGAAGGAGAGGATGATGAGTGTTGCAGCGAGAGAAGTGCTCATCAAATTTTTGGCGCAAGCACAATTAAACTATGCGATCTCTGTGTTTAAGATAGGGGATATCATCATTGATGAGATTCACAATCTAATAATCAATTTTTAGTGGGACCAAAAGGATGTTGAACGAAGAGCGCATTGGATGCGAGGAGAACTGACAAGAGCTGGTGACGATGAAGGAGGAAGGCGGTAGCGGTATGGGCCTCCGAGATCTCAAGGGGTTTAATCTGGTTTTGCTCGCCAAAAAATTCTGGTCGCTTCACCAACGACCGGATTCGCTGATCGCACAGCTTCTACGAGCAAGATACCACAACAGATATTGCCCAGGTTGGCTGCGAATCTTGATCCGCGGTAATAATGAAAGGGATCAGCGAGTCACGGTTACGGGGGAGGCGCGTCTGTGGCGGGCCTCTCTAACATGCATATACAACGATAAATGAGTCAGAGTTCGAAAGTCGTCCCTTTCTCCGACTCTCTTTTGTAGTCGACGGAGCGAACTTCATTCTCGAGTATTTGTTTCTCTTATAGTTATGATGAATGATGATCTTGTGGTGCTTGTCTTTGATGTCTATCTAATCAGATGAAGACATTTGATTATTTTTTAATTTTATGTGTTGGAACTCGTATTTGGATTGTGAATTCCTTGTGGATGATGTATTGTATTGATACCGTTTCTTATAATTATTATCTTATGTTGAAAATGTAGAATTGTAGTTAAATTATTTTGGGTGATTATATTTTTTTATTAGAAAGGAAATCAATAAATAATGACGTGTGAGAGTTGCTATAGGTTAGCCACCAAACTAACAACTAAACCAATTTTAAGCTTTTAACCGATAAAAATTTTTCGATTCGGTTATCGGTAAGCATTATTGCCTATTGGTTAACCACTAACCGCCAAATCAATTAGTGTTTAACCAAAACCGAACCTATTTAGCACCTGAAAGTAACATAAGATCAAACAAATCACAAAAGTAACATAGATAAAGACATATTTGGTTATAGCATTACTCAGAAATTCTGTAGACAGCATTGCTAATTTGCTATACATAAATTGGTCTCGTGGAACTAGACATCTAGAGCACACCAAACAGTAAAGTGCTTCAGGCCAAGTATCTCCTCACGATTCAAAAGACAAAAAAAAAAAAAAACACCCTATTACCCCTCATGTGATGGAGACCAAACTTTCTTTGTAAATATAGCAGTAGTTGAGGTGCCAGCAATTAGGTATCAGAACCTTACATTCTTGAGCACCAATCTCAAATAACACCAACTTATTGTTGGGCCGAAACTGGTGACAAATAAACTGACCATTCTTCCAACATCTTTTCACATACGATCTTTCCAATACAGGGCCAAGGTTGGATTGCTTGATCCAACACCACTGCCCACCACTCTCACTCAGCAACCACACAGCGACACTTGAACCGAACAACGGCCCCCTAAACAGAGCAATCGAATCGCCATATATGCTTAGGCTACCAATCGAATTACCGCGAAGAGGGCATTCGATTCTGTGGAAAACGTCGCTCCCCATATCGAATGCGACCACGTATTCGTTCTGCTCGACGAGCCAGTAGAAGAAACCCTTGAAGTAAGTATGACAAGTGACTAGGTTCTGTCCTTCCCAATACGGGCAGCTCTCTTCTAACTCCCTCCAGCAGTTGCTGCGCAATGTGTACAGAAAAACCGGTGAGCGAAAGGCGTAGAGACTGGCGGCATCCGTGTACACATAGTTACGAATCAGAACGACCTTGATATCATTCGCGACCTGATCTATCCCAACTCCACAGTGATCAGAGGAATGTGTCAAGTAGGGAGGTGCCAAAGGAGGGTCGGGAAGGTGCCTGGTTTTGCGAGTCGCTGGGTTCCATAGACGGTAATCAGGATGCAACGCCCCTCGATTGCCGAGAAGAAACAGACCGTGGCCTGTGCCGCAGATGACCCTCTGAAGCAAGCTTTGGTCCAATTGAATCGGTCGTTGGGCATCGGGGCAGAGTGAAACCCATCGAGGGTTTACAGAGAACCAGCGGTCATCTTCATGGTCGTAGTTGCATACGAGCGAGGCCTTGGTGGCGGGGTTGTGGGTGTAGTTTTTGAGGTGCAAGGAAACAAGGTCTGGATTGGTTGGAATCATGGCGTCCCAAATCTTGCAGAGGGATTTCAACCGGAAGAGGGTTTTCACGGGTAGCCGAGACAGAATCCCAATCACTACATCGAAAGGCAAATAATTCGATTCTTCGGTAGAGGAATTGGGTACCTGTTGGAGCTTGATCCGGCGGTTGCAGGTGGAGGTGGTGGTGGAATCCATGTCCATGGCGGCGGAGCGCATTGGCAAAGGAGAACGAAGCACGTCTCCCAGCGCCCGGGAGATTGATCCGCCGCGTCCAATTACTTCTGGAATTCCGTTTCCCGGGGTGATTTAACTACATGGTTCATAATCTTTATTGGGCCTGAAAGAGGAATGAACAATCGTTTGGGCTGACAATGAGTAATGTCGGATCTATATGGCTTTTGGGCCTAATTAGTGACAAACCAAGGAAGGTCTCCCGACAACTGGGGTTTCTCTTGATGCGAAAATCGTTGAATAGGAATTAGGAACGAACACGAAAGAAGAGAGACTGAACACAAGAGCAGAGTTCTGCAAAATGCTCTCTCTCTCTCTCTCTCGATAACAACAAACTCCATTCAAAATCCACAATCCATCATTCTGCTATGAAATGAGCACCGCAAAATAGAGAGAGGCACTTGCCACAGAAGTGAAAACTTCACGACGCAGAGTGTTCAAGATTACGTCTACTACACTGATTGAGGAAACATTTTCGTTCGGAGGCTCAGAGCTTCGTTTCAGGAAGTTATTCCACTTCCGCAAGATAATCATCGATCTCGGCTGGAGTCAGAACCCTGCAACAAAGTAGTTAACAATTTCAGAAGTAAGCTCAACGGTTCATGTCACCAGTGGTACTAATACCATAATCTGAATTTCAAGATTATAGCAATGTGTCAAATATACTAGAAGCATGCGTACTTGAATTTCCTGTCTTCTCCAATGGTGGCAATCTCAATGTTCTTCCCTGAAATCTGTCCCTCAAAACTGCATGACATTTTTTAAACAAAAACAAACCAGGTAAGATCGGGCGCAAGTGCAACTGATTCAACATGTTCTAACAAATTGCAACCTTCGAGGTATAATTTTGCTTCAAAAGTAAACTTAATGGCTATACAATGCAATTAAAATGTATACTCAAACCATTTGTAAAATGGATCCAACGGTTATAGCAATGTGATCCTGATCACAATTATTACAATATTAGAAAGCTACCATGGTTTGCACAGACAAACACAATGTCGAAGTTGTAGGCAAGGAAAATTCAAAGATTGAGCAAAGTGGAAGAACAGAAAGTATGGCTTACCCTTCCTTCAAAGTTAAGATAGCAGTGTGGATAGCATCTTCAAGCTCCACATCATCAGTATACCTACATAGAAAAATGAAAGTGATGAGAAACAAGAATGTAAGCAACAACAGGAAATTTAATCAGCAAAAGATGGGGTAGTTAGATGGATATAATAAGACCAAACCATAGTGCAATGAAGAGACATAAACAGATTGCAGAATAGTAACATAGGCAACAGCGGCAGAGTAAATATAACAGTATACTTGGCTTCCAAGGTTCCATATTCATGAATAATCTGAACCCGATGAGGGAAGATCTTATATTTGATTACCAAGGTAAGCCCAGCTCAAATGAAAACCAAACAACAACCAATAATAGCCAAATAAAATGAGAATATAATCACTTAAAACAAGTACCTCTTCTCAAGGAATGTCTTGGCGTTTGAGACATTCTTCCCCATTGCTGAGGCCTTCCATGAAAAGTAGGAACCTGAAGGATCCACCTGACAAAGATACAATAGAAGATAAACATAAACGATCTAGTAACTCCAAATTTCAGATTAAGTATATCAGAAAATTATAGCACTGCAGGGAGTCCCTCTAGTTCTTCAACGCAGAGGAAATCAGGAAAAGCTTTTACCAAAATTGTCAAATATCTAAATAGAGGAAGAGTGATGCATATCCAAAGTCCAAACACTAAGCACAGACATCTACTGTCCGGTTACAAACAGATATACATTACATCACGTCCATAGAAACATGTCCCGTAGTCATTTTACCTAATACAGTTGTGGACTTCCATAATCACAGGCATCTATTATCTGGTCACACACAGTACATTACATAACTTCCCTAGAATCATGTTGCAGTAATTTACCTGATACAGTTGTGGACCTTTGTCATCATAACCAGCAACCAGGAGAGATACACCAAAAGGTCTCACGCCTCTGAATAGAAGACAAAAATATGGAAGGGGTCAAACACCAAAGGAATAGAAAAGAGCAAAATCCATTTTGCTATTATAAATCCTGGCAGCACAGGTAAGTGTTAATACCCAGATTGAGTAAACTCCTGCATGACAGCGGCAGTTTCCCTCACAAGTTGTGTAACGGGAATTTGTTCCTACAACCACAAAAAAATGCTGATACTATAAATAAAAAGGAACATAAATAACTACGCTCGTAGTTATCGTTATGAAAATGTAGCATATCAACCCTCTAGCTCAACAAAAATGGTCACACATTTCTCCATTTGTAGAGCAGTCTCACTGATTTTAGATGATCCCACAATGATCAAAGAATCATACAATTAATGACAAAGGACCAAGTCATTCATGTGACATCAGTTAGGAAGGAAGAAATGTTGATGACAAAACAAAAATGATCCACCCTATTCAAAACTGAAGCATATTGGAACACAAAATAACATTGAAAATCAGGATGAAGTTCAGCCTGCTTCCTGATTTAACCTACAGCTAGTACCTTGTATAATCTGTGATATTGTTCAGCCTGCTTCCTGCTTTTCCGAACCAAAACTCGAAAATCAGGACCCATGCCACTGCAGATGAAACAAGATTGTTGATACTTGAGGACTATAAAAGGAGGGAAATAGAATACAATTTACAATTCAATCAGTTTCTGTGGAACTGAGGCACATACAGATGAAAGCTCAAAGGCAACTATCAAGGCTAAAGAGTGGAAGGTACCAAATTTTATAAATTCACTAATTCAGCCATGATTGACACACAATAAGCTAAAAAGACTAAACTTATTAACAAAGAAGTGGGAAGAAAACAAACCTGTAGACAACTCCAATATTTGGGGTTAGAGATTGTATTTTCTGGACCTGAAACAAAATGCAGATTAATTAGGACAGGCAGGCAATGTCCTTGTCATAAGAAACCGAATCAATCAGATCTCAAAACCAATGAGACATGAGAAGTACAAGACAGCAGTACAGTCACTAAGACAAATTTATATGTATCAATTCTCCCGACGTACTACTAAAAAAGCCAAGGAAAGAGAAGTATAGGCAGTAAGCGTAAATTGAATGGAGGAAACGAATTAGTCACTTACTGATGCTTCGTCAACCAGTATGGAAGGTAGCTTCTTCTCAGTAGCGATAACAACCCCATTAGAAGCTGTAGCAACAATAAGGCGATTCAAATCAATTGCAATGTAATGGAATTTAGAACTAAATAATTTTCCGTTTCTACTGGGTTCAGCTGAAGTTTCAGAATTCAGCAGGTTGTGTGATAACAAGTCGAACCTTTGATTCCGAGAGAGGTTTGGCCAGAGCCCACGGCCGTCAAGGCGTGCTCGATCTGAACGAGCTTCCCAGAAGGACTGCCCGAATTGAGGAAAGCAAATAAATCATTCCAACAAAACTCAAAATCAATAGCAAGTATACTTACAGAAAAGGCGATTGAAGAATCGCTCACCTGAAAGTAGTGAGAGAAAACGAGTACTGCGAGTCACCCATTTGTCAACAACTGCACAGATTCATCACAAAGTTAAAACCCTAAATCGGAGCGAGCAAATACTTCCACCAAAATCAAATTTACGGGGCAAGGACGAACAGACTCGGACGAAAGAACTCGAACGAACTCACCTGGGAAACACTTTTCCAGCGACGAGTGACGAAGCGTAAAGAATTGGTCCCCTTGAGATGGTTATTCGTCGTAGGGATCTTCCTAAACTCTCCGAGTTTCTTTCAAGTGTTTGATTACTTCATTTTCTTTATTTCAAATAGCTGTGGGTTTTTTCTTGAGGAAGAAGAAGGCGACCGACTGGGTATTTTCTCAGGGTTAGTATCTTGGGTTGGGCCCAAATTATAAAGGCTTTTAAACTGTCTAGTTCTCTCTATCCCAAAACTAGACTCCAATCAATTGAAGTTTCAGGGCTGCTTGAAAAGGTTATAGAGTAGCATGTTGGGCTATTGGCCCACAGGCTAAGACCAATGTTGTACAAAGTTCAAATATGCGCTCCAAGTATAAAAAAAAAAATTATCAAGATAAGCCTACACAACATGGCTGAACAACTCAAATACATTATTGACAAGAAGCATAAGTCCTTATGCAACCCAACTAATCATGAAAGAGGTTGTTTTTGTCACTAAATAGATAGCTCTATAAAAGCTCCGAAAAACAAAAAAGACACTATGAAACAGACAGACCCAAAACGGAATATAGACTTCCTTTGAGGAACCAAAAAAATCCAATATGAAGTTGAATGTCACCCAGCGTAATACTCCTAAATGGCTAAAGATAGGGTGAGTAATCTTAGGGTAAGTAACAATGAGTAACCAAATCTGGACCCTTCTTTTAAGTGACTACAGATCTAAAGGTAGAGAATCAAAAGAATTTATTTTCCCTAGTTTTCTTAATTGGATCATATCTTATTCATTCTAACTCGGATTTCAATTTTTTTTGCACAGATGGAACGAGTTCGTTGTGCTCTACAAAATGATATCCATTTTCAATATTTTTTTATAAAAAAATTTTCCATCCCTCTCGTTACCAACTCCATACCATATGATATCTCCTTCGTTGTTTAGTCATTTTCGAAAAGTTTTGCACAAAATGAACGATTTAATCACGATCTATTGGATTTCAAAATTTTCTGGGGGGAAAATTTCAAACCTTTCGTTACCAACTCCATACCATACTATACCACCCTGGTATGAGGTGGTATTTTTCATACCATATAGTATGTTGCTATTTAATACCATATGGTATTGACTGGTATTAAATAACAGCATATGGTATTGACTGGTATTTTTCATACCATATGGTATGCTGTTATTTAATACTAGTCAATACCATATGGTATAGACTAGTAATAACTCGCAAATTTTTTTTGTTCCAAAAAATATGAAAGTGGATATCATTTTGAAGAGCACAATTAATCTGATATAACTGTGCAAAAAAATTAAATTCCGAGTTAAAACGAGTGAGAAATCGTCCGTTAAAGATTAAGGGAAAAAAATTAATGATTTTTCCATGAGAGAGAAGGAGGCACTGATGTGGCAGATTCTTATTGGGTTATGCATAGGGTTAATCACCACAAAGTTACTCACACGATCTGCTCCTCTCCTAAACAATGAGACAAATCCCTTGTCTGAAAAAACCATCTCGTGAAAGTGCCCAAACTAGAAAGCAAGGGAATGAGTCCCTACTCCCTAAAAAATTAAACAAACAAAATGATCCCCCACCAGGAACTACAGCTTTATCACCATAGATAAAAATAGACACTTATGCATTGTTGAAAGGTTAAAATATTTGTATACTCTGCACTTTAATCATAATAAACATCCTAACTAATTTTTTTATTTGTAACATTCTGGTCCAAACTATACATTAAAGTAACGATATTGACCAAACCCGATGTTTGACCATTATGTTAAAAGATCAAACGCGTTGACTAACGGTCAACATACCACGTCACCGTCTGATCATCTTAAAAATGATTAAAATATTCACAATTTACACATATTTTCTAATTTTGAATTATTACAATTAAATAAAAATAAAAATGAAAAAATGAAACCCACTACCGAGCGAGAATCCCGCCGTCGCGTGCGGAAGATCTGGCCTCCGAGCCGGCGAAGGAGAAGAAGGAGGAAGAGAAGAAGAAGACGGCGGAGGAGGTTCCCGGCAGTTAGCTTCAGCCCCTCGCCCCTACTCCGTTTTCTCACACAAACCAGACCATCGCCGTTCCCACAGTTACGTACCAACCAACCTCTCTCTCCTCCCTCTCCTCTCTCTCTCTCTAACTTCATCCAGCTCCAAATCTCAACAGCCAGAAACATTCTCCCAAATTTTGGACTCTTATAAAGGAAATTAAACAGCTCCAATTGCTGCATTCATCAATCAATTTCCTGTTGAATCACTATGGCCCCGGCGGCGGCTGCGGCGAATTACAACCATTGCTACGACGGTGGAAGCGATGACGATGATCAACAGGAGCCTCAGACCGTGTGCGTAATGGAAGCCTCCGGACGATTAGGTTCCACTCTCGTCCACAAGCTGTTGCTCAGAGGCTACGCCGTTCACGCCGTCCTCCAGAAGCAAGGTTCGTTTTCTCCATCCGAGCGGTGGGGGTTTCAAATTTTTTTTAATTTTTGTTTTAATTTATTTTTAATAATTCAAATTTAGAAAATATATGTGAATTGTGAATATTTTAATGATTTTATGATGATCCGGCGGTGATTTGGCATGTTTACCGTTAATCAAGATAACGGTCAAGCCTCGGTGTAGGCCAATGTCGTTACTTTGATGTATAGTTTAGGTCAGGATGTTATAGACCGAAAAGATTGGTCAGAATGTTTATTATGGTCAAAGTTTAGGTCATATAAATATATTAACACTTGTTGAAATTCTGAATAGAACACCAAAACAGTTATATAAAACGAGTATGATTGAAACAATTCGTATAGTCGTTGTTGAAATAAATAAATAAATAATAAATATGTTATCCACCTTAAATAATGGTAAAAATATACGAACGACACCATTAATAAATATATACCACGTAAATTACAACCCTTAAATGGTAAAACACAAATCGAAAACAATAACACTAAACCTAGAAAAGTAACAATTACTTACCATATGAATCATCCATTGAAAACTTTAGATTGTAAAAATTAAAAAATGTAAACCCAGTAGGCAGTAACCCACAGGCTAAGATCAAGCTAATGAAGTAGTAGTGTTAATGTGGTACTTCGATATGGTGCAAGCATGCACGTGGTACTATAGTGTAGTTGACTTTTAAGTTTCATTGAGGAAAATCCAATTTGAATAACAATATCTAATCCAAAAGTCAAACAATGAAACAAATAATAATTCATCAAAACATTCAAACTCACGGGAGTTTGACTTTTTCACCCACAAATAATAACTGGACTATAGCATAAACGCATTGGAAAATTGCACAAGTTAATAACTATACGCTATATTTTATTAGCATTTAGCACACATTACGTTGACAATGGAAAATTACTATGAGAAAACTACAACAATAGTCCACAAATGCATGTATGCGACTTTTGAGTCTTTTGAGTTTTGACCACATATACAGCATGAATACTTATATATTACCTTGTGTAATGTTGATGTTACTCGAATATTAAGTTTAAACGATATCATGTATGTATGTTTTTTTTTTTTTATAATGATGAAATAGTATTAATAAATAGAAATTAAAGTCTGACAAACAAAAGGAAAGGAAACAAGAGAAAAGCTCGGATGCAGCCTCCATCTGCAGCAGCAGATCAAAAGTTCACAGTTCGAAAAAGCGAAAAACAGAGCATTACTGCTGCAACAAAAACGGACCTGGCCGGGGAAGCAACCTATTCTTGACGATCTGAAGCCACAAATCAGCGACACTTCTATCAGCTTTGTTGACCACACAGATCCAGTCCGAGACACATCTAGCAATCAAGAAAGACACCATGCGCGGCGAAGCGGACAAGTCTTTGAAGATTCTTCTGTTGCGCTCTAGCCAGATACGCCAGCAGAAAGAATTCAAAAAGACTCTGGAGCACCAGCTGGAAGCACTTTGAGACGAGTCACGAGGCCACAGCTTAATCACCGACAAGATGTCCTGGGTGGGGATGTTAATGCTAACAAAGGACTTCATCATAAACCAGACCTCGCGACTGAAAGGGCAGGAAATGAAGAGGTGGTCTATGGTTTCTTCAAAGCAGCCGCACAAAACACAGCGATTCGGGAAAGACCATCCTTTTTTCTTCAGCACATCTTGAGTGGGGATTTTGCGACAGTAGACAGTCCAAATGAAGGAGCAGACTTTAGGCGGAATGACAGGACACAAAAACGATCTTGAAGGGGAAGTCCTGGTCCGCAAGGTTGCTGTCCTTGACCAGCTCCGTATAATAAGAGTGGGAGCTGAACCCACCATTCTACGTGAGCTCCCAAACAATTCTAGAGGGACCTGTAGCAAGACTCGAGAATGTTATGTTATTAAGTAAGGTCAACAGACTGACTCTCTCAACCACAGCCCCTCCCCTAAGAGAATGAGAAATAGGAATGGACCAAGAAGAACTTCCCTCACTCAAGCTCCACAGGTCAGCAATGCGGCAATTTGGTGAAGCGGCAACGGGGGCAACTTGGGGGAACTCCAGGGCCAAGGGCTGGGATCGTTCACTAAGCCAAACATCAAACCAGAAAGACGTGTCATGACCAGATCCCGGATCAATGTGGCTGAACTTCCAGAACTCAGAATCAAGCTTCAAGATGACTGCCCAAGGGCTGCAGCCGATGCGACCCGTAAGAGATCCAGCGGACCATTGGGAATAGGGATTCGGAAACTTTTGGGCGATCAACTGCCTCCACCACGCATTTCTTTCCACTTCATACCTCCACCACCATTTAATAAGCAGAGCCTGGTTTCTAAGTCCCAGGTCTGTGATGCCCAAACCACCAAGCTGCTTGGGTAATTTACACTTGTCCCAGGACACGAGATAAAACTTCTTATCATCACCCACCCCTGACCAAATAAACGACCTAAGGAGGCGCTCAAGGTTGTTGATGACAGACGTAGGGGCTTTATTGCCCACACAGATCCAGTCCGAGACACATCTATCAATCAAGAAAGACACAATGCGCGACGAAGCGGACAAGTCTTTGAAGATTCTTCTGTTGCGCTCTAGCCAGACACGCCAGCAGAAAGCATGCAAAAAAACTCTGGAGCACCAGCTGGAAGCACTTTGAGACGAGTCACGAGGCCACAGCTTAATCACCGACGAGATGTCCTGGGTGGGGATGTTAATGCTA